TGCGTCACTGTAGTCATGTGACTCGCTGACGCAACACCAGTTTTATTAAGTAAAGACTTGTGTCGTTAAAATTTCGTCGGAACGAAGTTACGGAAAAATCTATTAACAAACGGAGACGTAACACACCTTTTTTGTATTTATAGGTACTTACTAAAACAATGTTGTCTTGGTTTATAGTAAAACTATATTTATGATGTAGTCTAGAAAAGTTTTCGAAAGCCAGCGTGTATTTGTTTATATATATTGCTGTTTTAACCTTAAATAATACTCTTTAAACGCTGAAACGGGCTAAGCATTAGAAATCGATAGGTATAAAATTGGTGATATAAATAACATTAACTGCAACTGTTTTTTTTAAGCTGTGGCATAGCGGTTTATAGAATGGCTCTGAGTTTTTAAAGTACAAAGTTTTAGCTCATAGCTCTATCATTTCTTGACCGATTGAGATCTAATTACAGTTTTGGACTCAAGAGGTCAAACCCTTTCAATTGATGTATTTGATCAACCACAAGGTCTCATAGATTAATTTACTCTAATCCTGCCTGAAAGAATTTCAATTTGAGGGTAGGCTGGTAGAGATCCTGATGAGTAATAAAATCGAATCAGGTATACGCGCGCCCCACGCTTATTATTGCTGGCGCACAAAAATACAGCTAATAAAAAAGAAAAAATGTCTGATATATTAATTTACTCTAATCCTGCCTAAAAGAATTTCAACTGCCGCGGCTATTGAGGATTCTTTCTTTTTTTTTCCATACAAAAGGTCAAGCATTGGGTTGATTGGCTGTGACATTTAATCCTAAGTTGCTGATAAGACTTCTAGCTTAAGCTTTCAGTTGTTGACTTTTGTCATAAAAAGTCATGTTCTTGAGCATTATATTTGTACCATAATACTCACACAATATTAACATATTATTTACAAAAACAAAACTTATAACAACAAAAACGTACTTACATAAGTTATAAGTAGCTGAATTTTGTTGATTTTTAAAATATGTGATAACATAAAATGCAAAAATGATTTAGGTTCATTGTTATTTATTATTCAATTTATTTCACATAGATGATCTACCTATAAACCTCCTCACTGGGTCCAATGCTTACATCGGGGCCAAACAGTCCACCAGCTCCACTACTCAAAGTATCATTGTCAAATTTATCTGCAATAACTGTTAGGTCAACAAGGGGCAAGGTTTCCTTTATACAAAGAGCCGTAGAAAGACCGATAATACCAGCACCGATGACAGCAACTTTTGGACAAGAACTTTTCAAACTGGCCATTGAATGCTGTTTGCTATGAGTGCAACTGTAACATAAAAACATTGTGACATCAGTGGCACGTTTTTCAGAATAATAAGTGGAGTATTTTTGTTTTCTGTATGACCATATTTTCCATTAGCAAAGTGGACAACGAATTTACCTTCAATGATAACACAGAGAGCATAGAATGTTTGATGTAGATATAAATATATATCTTCGTAGCATTTTGCTCTGAATATTAATATTTCTTACAAAAATTGTATTGTTACGACAGCGGAAGTCACATTACTCTTGTAACACGTAATGAGTGTCAAGAAGATTCGTGAAGGCTCGAGTGTTTGCCAGACTTGCTGTATTCTAATATATAAACCCGACAATCAAAGCGGGAGGGGATTAATCGGAACTGGAATAGCAGATAGAGGGAGATTGAAGTTATAGACGCCGATAATCGAGTCAAGCGGCGGTAGACACCGAAAGTAAAGTGCGTGAATCGTTGTGAATTATAGCGTGTGTTGAAGTTGAAGTGAATGTGGAAATTAAGTGTATTGCAAAGTTGAATTGAGAAAGAATAAACTAGTTTTATTTTTTAAAAAAAGGACTTGTATCGCTAAAGTTCCTCGGAAAGAATTTCTACGGAAAATTAACAAACGAACACAGACGTAACAGTACAAATATACTTAGCCACTCTTACTTACAGAAGTTGTATAAATGATTTAAAACACTCAGAGACAGGTTGAATAGTTGGTCTATGGAATATCTTGTGACCGTCACTGTGGAGATGAAGTACAGAGTTCCTATAGTGGCTGAGAAGTGACAGTGAACAATATCTATTAAAAGTGATGGTAGGACTGACGATTTATTCATACTGAGATGATTTAATGAAGCTGATTTAAAACTTACACGAATTGTAAATTTCTTCTTCTTGAGTATATTTAATGAGGCTGATTTAAAGGTTTTGTTTTTTACTAATATAGCATATTGGGTTAAAAGGCATCTAGTAATAGAGGTTAAGAGTGAGAAGCTAAGAATGGGATTTATATGTTCCAAGTAGTTTTTCAGACATATTTAGTATTGAAAATCAAAAGGATGGAAACAGGCTACAATATCTTCCACCTATTATATGACTCTTAACTGAATACCGTCACAGAAATGATGCCCCGACAACCGAAAATATGCCTGGTGAAAATCGTGTTTCAAATCTTGGACCTTTTAATCCAAAACATGGAATAATTACCATTAGCTGTGCCCAGCTCCTGTTTTGTTTTTGTAAAAATTCAAACCGAACACAATATGAAAAGTTATCTTACAAAATTCTTACATTCACATTGTCATACAGTCGTTTGTTAATTATGCTCACGTGGTCAAATGAAATTAAAGGGTCATAATTTTCATAGTTAATATAACATAACAATAAAGAATGGCAAGGGACCTTTTGAACCATCTAGACTGTCCTATCCACTAAATCAAATTATTGAAAAGAAAAAAAACCCAAAGCCAACCATTATCATTCATGTATTTATCAAGCTCTACATAAAATTAACTGCAACTCATTCCAAAGGCCAACTACAGTCTTAGCCAAAATGTTTGCATATTTTGTGACAAATAAGATCATTATTATTAAGATGGGATATAAATACCCTTAGAGCTGTCAAACTGAGAACTGCATGTTATTATAAACATCTACGTGTGTAATTTGTACAATGAGACATGTTCTATGGACATCATGAACAATTTATTAGAACAGCAATCAATTTTATCAGACACCTGTAGAAAGATGTGTAATTCAGCATTACATCTATCCCAACAAAACCTTACCAAAACTTATACAGTGACAAAATATAATACTAAATTATTATAAGTAGTGTCTATAACCTCATATCAGTTCATATTAAACATTCAGTACTTGGTTGATCTTCCTCATACTCTAATAACCTCCGCAAGGCGACGTGGTATGCAGTCGATGAGGTTATTGATGTAATTCACTATGATTTCATCCCAACTTGCCACTAGAAGACTTTGCAACTCAACTGCAGTAGCTGGTTTATAGTCGTGGTTAGTAATTTTCCGGCTCAGTTCTGCCCAACAGTTCTCATTTGATTGCAATCTGGAGATTTTGCTAGCCATGGCACTCTTATAATGTCCTTCTGGTCGAGATAATCCTGCACAATACGTGCACTGTGAGCAATGACAATGTCATCTTGGAAATTAAAGTTGTTGCCAAACCTTGCCCTAGCATATGGCAGAAATAGCGTCTCCATGTGATGCCTGAAGTAGGCGCCATTGACATTTCCCTGGAGGATATGAAAAAAGTTTTTCCACCATAGTGAATAGCTGCCCAAACATATGCTGCACCACCTCCTGTGGGAAAGACAGTCCGCCCTCGTCTGTATTCCAGGAAAACAACGAACATGAATCCTAATATCAGCTTTAACTAGTTGGTAACAGGACTCATCTGAAAAGATGACATGTTGTCAGTGTCCTAACTGTACATTGGCATGCTATCTTGCCCAATTAACATGTTGATGGCGGTGGATTCTGGTTAATATCGGTTTGCAGATAGCTCTTCTTGCAAAATAACCTTGTCTGGCCAGTCTCCTATTCACTGTTCTTCTGAATACACATACACTGGAATAAATGTATTCATGTCATTCCTATCGTAAGGTGTTACAAGACTTTTTTCGACCTTGACGTTTTCCCCTGATCAAAAAGTGACGAGGCATGACTCTATATCAAGTACAAAGAAATTGTGTGAATAAAGCATTGATCTGTTTCGAAAAATATTATGCCAAGAGCACAACCTTTTATACAAAATAGGTGTGTGTGTGTGTTTTGACGAACAAATGCTCAAAACAACTAATAAAGTCCAAAATAACAACTCGTATATGTTTGTCCAATCGTATGCTACCTTCTCTGTTACTACTCGGGCATTTACTCAAGAACTACCCCATAAATGTAGATAATAACGTCAATATAGAACAGTATGCAAACATTTTGGACAAGACTATACCATGTTAAAAAATAAAACCGCCATAGTTGACAATGATTTCTTCCCTGCCAAAACTGATCTTTGTGTCTCGTAGTCTTATCAATATCACCATTAAATATGGAAAAAGGTGATGCATCAACGCTATCAATTGGATTAACAATCTTAAACACCTCAATCACATTTCTTTTAACTCTTCTTTTTTCAATAGAAAACATGTTCAGAGATCTTAACCTGTTCTCATATGATAACATTTACATCCCAAATATCAATCTTGTAGCCCTCCTCTGAACCATTTCCAACAATTCAATGTTCCTTCTCAGGTAAGAAGCCCAAGACTAAGCATAATACTTCAAATATGTCCTAACAAGTGATCTATACAATGAAATCATAGCCTCTTAATCTTGTATTCAATATTTCATTAGCTACAATCTAAAGTCCTATTTAGCCTGCCACTAGCAGTAGCACATTGCTTGGATGGTTTAAGTGACTGATGAACCAGAACACCAAGATTTTTTTCTTCCGTAACACTGTTAAGGCTATTCCCATCAAAAGTATACTCATAATTCAAGTTGTGATACCCCACATGCATTACTTTGTATTTATTATGATTTAAGGCCACCTGTCATTTATCAGTCCAACTCACCAAGTAATCCAAATCCGTTTGTAAAGCAGCAGCAGCAGCCTCTTCACAGTCAGCGACATCTAAAATTTTAATGTCATCAGCAAATATAAATAATCTATTGATAATTTTTCATCCTATGTCATTGATGTAAATCAAAAAGAGCAAAGGTCCAAACACTGAGTCCTAAGGCGGGCCCCTCGTAACAACAACCCAGTTTAACTGAACTCCATTTATAACATCCCTCTGCTTTTTTTAATCAAGTCAGTTTTCTATCCAATGAGCCAACCCACATTTACCTTGCCTTCCTCAAAATACAGATACACTACATCCACACTTGTACCCTCATCTATGTAAGAATTAACCTCTTCAAAAAAATGTCAAAATATTAGTAAGGCAAGCTCTTCCCCTAGTGGAACCATGCTGACAACCCAATAAAATTGTAAACTTTGTAAAGCATATTTTATCAGACTGTTGCGTCATCGAGGTCACGTGACTGGTGTGGCGCCACCTATTTTCTAGAACTATCCTGTACCTTGGCGAATACTCTAGTATTTACTAGATATAGGGTAGTCTGGTATATAAAAGAGGGTGACAACGTGACGGAACAGTAATGTGTGTGTAGATAGTGAGTAATTGAACTGCAGTCAGAAGTATTGTTGACGTTCGTTGATATAGCGTTTGTTTTAGCGCGATTGTTGAAAATAAGTGTGTCGTAAAGTTATATTCAGAAAGAATAAACCAGTTTTATTAAGTAAGGACTTGTGTCGCTAAAGTTTCGTCGGAACGAAGTTACGGAAAATTAATTAACAAACGGAGACGTAACAAGACTTTTAAAAAGTTTTCAAACCACTAAAAAGAGGAGTAACATTAGCCAACTTCCATTCTTCTGGCACCTGCCCACTTTTCAAGGACTTAGAGAAAATAATAGCAAGTGAATCACATATCCAATCTTTAAACTCTTTCAAAACCCTCGAGTGAATATTGTTGTCTGATCTCAAAATTATTTTATCAAAATAGTTGTAGCTTACATCTTACAAAACATTTTAGTAGGTGTGTTAATATAGGGTAGATCACGGACAACTATTCTTTCCCCTCTATTACAGCAGTCTAAAATTTTATTCCACTCATGACAAATGAGAAAGGAAGTTTAACCAATCATCAAAATAACTATACTTACACTTAAAAAGAAAATATAGGAACGAAAAATAAAAAACTTGTACTTGAATATAGACTCATTATAAAGTTAACAGGTGCAAAAAAGTATTTAAGGGCACAGTACAATTTATAAAATGAATTCTTAGAAGTTGATATATTATTTGTTAAAATCATATTAAATATTTACGGAATACAAACGAATGAAATTAGACAATGACCATTTACTTAACAGTAATTTTTTATGCCAAATATACACATATAATAAGAAATAAACATATAGACATATAATTTATTTGACTACGTTCATAATATGAACTTATTTTAATTT